AGCATGGGGATGCCCCACACGCCGGGCAAGCCCACCTCCTCCTCGACGCCCAGGACCGCGCACCTCGGCGTGGGCATGAGCGCGCCGCCCATGGAAGACATAGACTACAAAACCAACCCGCACGTGAAGCCGCCCTACTCGTATGCCACGCTCATTTGCATGGCCATGGAAGCCAGTAAGAAGACCAAAATCACCCTCTCTGCCATCTACAAGTGGATCACCGACAACTTCTGCTACTTTCGGCACGCTGACCCCACCTGGCAGGTAGGTGGCCAGGAAACCTCCTTCTCTTCCCTCCTCCCCATCTCCTCGGAGCTGGACCTGCTCGCGGGGCTGGGATGGAACTTGCTGCAGCTTCTGCGGTGCAGCGCGAGGCCGAGCGCCCAAGCGAGCGCCCAAGGAGGAGGCCGCACGCTGTGCGGTGGCTGCTGCGCCCTGTCCCTGTGCGGGCCGTGGAGACCCGGCTGCCGCTTTCAGATAGGTCTGCAGGGGTGAGAGTGTCTCTGTAGCCCAAGCGCCTCACGCGGAAGACCCTTCCCGGCAGCAATAGCAGCTCTTCCTCCCCACCGAGGCGCTCATCACTGCGCTGGCCGCAGGGACACGTTAGTGCAAGCAGGAATTTGCCCTTGCCGAGTTAGTTATTGCCCAGCAAGGCTGCTGAGAGCCCCAGACCGTCTCCTTTCCCACGCAGAGAGGGGAGCACTCGGCACGGGGAGGAAGAGAGAGGCGGGTGGCAGGGAAAGGGCTGGGGACGGGGTGCCTAGAGGAGCTGCCAGGGGCAAAGAGCCCTTTGGCCGAAGCGTTGCCATTGGAAAAGGAGCCGGGAGCCATTTCGGGAAGAGCCGGCCATTTTATAGGGGCGGGAAGGCGGCTGCAGGGCTGCGGGTGCCGAGGCCCTGCGGGCCTCTGCGGCCCTGCTCCCTCCCCCGGCCCCGCCAGCCACCCTGGGGCTCAGCAAACACCCAACGGCGCCGAGACGAGTTTTGGGTGGGCGCCGAGGAGAGGGGGCGCGGGGGGCCCGCAGCGACGTGCCGCTGGTCCGGAGGATCCTGCACCGGGGTTGCTTAGGGCAAGGATGCTGCTGCCTTCCGAGAGAGAAGGGAAAGTTTGCCCCTCTTTTCCGACAGGAATAGGCCACTGTGTCCATGACTGTGACGAACTGGTCAGGGCTCAACAGACCAAAGGGCCTCCCCATCCCCAGGGAGCAGGGCCAGTAGCCCTGGGGTCATTGCATGGAGCACGAGGACTTTTCCCAGCCTTGGTGACTTGGGAGCCCTCCTCTGCCATGCAAAGGGACCGCCAGCACACGTGGCACCCGCATAGGGACAGCAGGGTCACACAAACAGGAGCCCTGGGACGTTCTCTCCTTGGAAATCCGGCATGATCCCAGCCTTCCTGCATGCTGGTGGGTCCTCTAGAGTGTTGGGCAGGGGAGCACTCGTGTGTCCACGTTTTGACTTTCTCCTGCAAACTCCTGGCTGGATAATCACCTTGTTTTTAATTAAATGGGTTTATTAAAAAAGAAAGAAGGGTTTTCAATCCCCCTCTGCAGACATGCAGGGGGTTTGCTGGCTTGTTGCAGGGAGGAATGATAAATATGTTAACTGGCCGGGCAATAACAACGGCAACCCAGGCAGGCTGAATGAAATCTGGGATGGGGAGGGGTGAAGGGGAGCAGAGAATTCAGCCTGCAATTCTCTGACCCTTGTAAAATTTCATTAAACTGTAAAGTTGGAATTGCTGCAGTCTGGAATGTTGCAAGGTTCTCCCTCCTTCTCCCTCCTTCTCCCTCCTTCTCCCTCCTTCTCCCTCCTTCTCCCTCCTTCTCCCTCCTTCTCCCTCCTTCTCCCTCCTTCTCCCTCCCCATGGATGCTATGTTCTCATCCCTCTCCCCGCTTCCCACACGTGCAGACAGCCTCCAAAGGTCATGCCGCCCATGCTCCGGGAGAGAAGGATATATCCCTGTGGGAGCTGAGTGCTTTGGAGAGGAGCCAACACACCCAAGGAGCTGCAGCCGAGAGGAGGGTTTTGGTGTGTGTGTGTTTTTCAGCAGCTCTGAGCATTCAAGCCTTGTTTTTGCCACTCGGCACTACGGATTATGGATGAATAGGCATAAAGATATCCAGGCAACATTTAGGAAAAAAAAAAACCTCTACCATATCCAATCTCTTAATACAGTCTTGGCTTTGTGGAGTCCAGTGCTGTGTTATTTAGCCAATACTGAGTTTCTGATTGTTCACATCACTCTAGGCACATTCAGGGTTTCCCAACAGCACAACGGGAGCAAAAACTCTTTTTTCCCCCGCTAGTTTGGGCTGCGCTAGAGGACGATGCGGTGATTTTGGTGCAAGGAACTGCAACGTGGTGATTTCGGTGCAGGAGGCACCTCTGGGCCCAAGGGAGCCCAACTTCCGGGGGTGCAAGTCCCAGCACCCTGGTCCGCATCTGCCCCGGAGACCCCAGCCCAGCTGGCCCGGGGCGGCTCGCGCCTGCGGAGCCCACGTGCCCGGTTTGACCCACCTTGTTACTGGCGCCAGCTGGACACAGGGGCTCTGGATTAGCCTCTGGAGCGGGGAGGCTCTAGGGCTGATTTTCGGCAGTGTATTTTCCCCTCAACATTAGTATTAAACACAAATGGACTGCGTGTTGCCATTTGTGATGGGGCTGTGGCCACACTAGTATAAAGTCCCTGCTCTTTCTCCATAGCCACTGGTCAGGGCGTGATGGTCAACTTAGCTCCATGCTCAGAGCAGATTAGTCTTTTTTTTTTTTTTTTTTTCCCAATGAACTGTTTGATCCAAAGCCCCAGGTCCCCATTTAAAGACAAGGAAAGTTTCTCAGAAATTTCCTGCTGGTTGCAAGTCCCAGCTTGAGTCCCTTGGCTGCTGCCATTTCAGGATGGATGAGATAGGAGGCAAGAAAACCGCGCTGATGACTTGGGGCAGGGGAGTTTCTGCTGGGCACGTGGAAGGTCTTTCATGTTCACGATTCCCGTTCTCTCTTTGCCAAAGGTCCTTGCTGAGGATGTGCTTTTCCACCAGCCTCTCCAACGTGCCCCTCCAGGTAGGTCCAAAGGTGGAGAGCGGATGTTCAACCTTGCTGTTTTCTCTTTTGGGTTTAGAACTCCATCCGGCACAACCTGTCCTTGAACAAGTGCTTCATCAAGGTGCCCCGAGAGAAGGACGAGCCGGGGAAGGGCGGCTTCTGGAAGATCGACCCCCAGTACGCTGACCGGCTCATGAACGGCGCCTTCAAGAAACGGAGGATGCCCCCAGTTCAAATCCACCCAGCCTTCACCAACAGAGTCCAGCAAGAAGCAAAGTCTGTCTCTGGCCCGGCAGTTTCCTCCTGGACCAGCAACAACGTCCTGAATGTCAACGTGGAGTCGCAGCAGCTGCTGAAAGAGTTTGAAGAAGTCACTAGTGACCAGAACTGGAATCCAGCAGACGGAAAAGCCGGCCACAAGCGCAAGCAACCCATGCCCAAACGGACGGCCAAGTCGGCTCGGCTTTCCAGCTCGCCCTTGCTCACCCAGGAAGAACAAACGGAGCTGGGATCGCTGAAGGGTGACTTTGACTGGGAAGCCATCTTTGACACCACCCTGACCGGTGATTTCTCCCCTTTCGAGGATCTGGAGCTCACGCCTCCCATCAGCCCAATAACCCGAGACGTGGACTTGACGGTGCACGGCCGACACATCGACTGTCCCCAGGAGTGGTGCCCCGTTGGGCACGACCAGGTCCTGACTGAAGCCAACCAGAACAGCCTGGACTTTGATGAAACCTTCATGGCCACGTCTTACCTTCAGCACCCCTGGGATGAAGGGAGGAACGATTACCTCTCCGGCGCCGTCAGCATGGACCAGTTGTTTGAACTCAGCGACACTTGTTTGCCAGCAGATGTGAACGACTGGATCAGTGTGGGGTCCTTTTTATAAGAGGCCATTCATGACTCAAGGGATCGCATCAAGCTCCCATAAACGTTACCTATTAGCAGGATGCTCCCCCCTCACTGCTGGAACTTACAAGGGACAAGATTTTATAGTGACAGAGACAAATATAGTGACTTTTATCAGCTTCATAGGAAGAATATTCACGGAAACATCGGGGGAAGAAAAAAACCAACTACCCAGGAATCACTTGGTACATCTTTGAAGGAACATCAGAAGTCTCTGGTCATTGAGCTTCCTCAAAAGAAGATATATAACAGTACTTATTTTTTTTACTTTTAAAGAAGGAAATGTGAATTATCACTTTTTTCATGGAAATGGACAAGGCACAAGTTCCTTTTGGGTTAAAAGCAAGCACCTGCTAAACTTGATCCAAGAAATGAGATTCCTGGTGACTTAGGACTCTGTAGACTACGTGCAATTTCCTCAACCCTTCTTCTCTCTATTTGTTTCTCTCTCTTTTTTTCTCTTTCTTTTTTCTTTCTTTTCCTTTCTGTCCAGGGAAGTTCCTAGGTATAACATGTGATAATTAGCTAGCAGGCAAATAAAGGTCCCTTCTGGATTCTCTGGGTACAACCTCCCTCCTGAATTGTGCCTAGAGAAGAAGAAAAGGTCTGTAAATTCAGATACAAATCAGCAAGTCTGCCTCTTTAGATGTTTTTATATAATCTATTATATATTATATATTCAAAGAAACCTATATTTTTAGCAATAGATTTTCTTTTTAGTGGGGGATAGGGGAAATGCCTTTTGGGGGTTGTTTTATATTTTTAACACATAAGGGTTAGTTCTGCAAACTAAGAATGAAGTATACGGCATGCCTGCTCCAGCAAAATATGCAAGGGAGGATTCCCGCAGTGCCAGCAACAGGCTTCACCGTGGATGCAGCAAACGGACACGGCAGGGAGGAAACAGGGACTTTCTTATTGCTGTACCTGACACCCTCGCCCTGGTTGCTGTAGGTCTAGCCTTGCACCACCATAAACCTTCTCCGTCTTTCAGCAGCTGTGCCTTTTCTGGTCTGAATCTGTTGCCCTCTCCATCTTTTGCTCATCCGTCAGGCTCAGAGCAGCCAAGGGGACAACACAGGACCCCAGTTAAGGAGGAGCTGTGGGCAAGGAGCATGGACAAGAGCCACACAGTCCCACATGCCACCCAATGGCAGCAGTCACCAATGGCATCGCTCTTTGTCTGGAAAATATAATGTTCTCCAATGGGACCAAGGAAGAATAAAAACTGGATCCAGGCTCTTTCCATGGGTCTCAGGCCAAAGACTCTATGTGCAACAGACTGGGAACAACGGCGGAGATGAGACCTTGCCATGGAGCTGGGAAACCACCTGACCATCACCTGGAATTGCTGCCAGGGCGGTGGTGATTCACCTGGACTGGAGATCTGGCCCTTTGGCTCTGCCCGCAAGGACAGGGGGCAGGACATCTGCAAAGTAGGTCTAGGCAGCGTAGAAACGTTACAGTAGCCGAGCAAAACTGTGCTAAAAACTTGACTTGAAGCTCTAGAGAACTGGATTCTTCGCCTCTCCTTTGCTACAGGTTGTTAGGGTTAAGGTAGCTGCTAGATAGTGCAAGGTAAAAGCTGTAGCTTCAGTGGTGTGTCTTAGACTTGCTGAAGAATGGAGAATGATAAAGATTTTCTTTTTTGGTTACAGAAGAATTTAGGACCTTTGATGTGAGCAACGTAACTTAGTTGGAGTTTAGCTGTAGCGTAAAATACAATAAATTAGCCTGAAAGAAACCCCTGGTGGTAGTTTGCGTGTGAGGCCGCAAGCAGAGAGCTTTGCACGGGGCGGGTCCCTTGCTGGCAGCCGGATGGTGAGTGCAGGATCTGCCGGCACAGCGTGGAGCGGGCCGGGACACCGAGTCCCCACCGCTCCGCACCCGCCGCCCGGTGCCACGGTGAGGGGCAGCGAGGGATTCCTACCAGCCCCTCGTTTTCCTGGCCCCACAGCTCAGCTCTGCAGCTGCTGAAACCCGCCACGATGCCTCTGCATTTTCTCATTTTTTCGGGGTTTACTCCACCCTGATGCAGAATAACTGCAAAGATACACGTGCAATTTAACCTTTTTTCATGGAAGGTTATTTACAAATTAAAAAAAAAACAAACCCAAAATTTAAAAAAAAAAAAAAAAAGAGGATATTTTCCTTCTTGTTTCCCTCTGGCACAGGCCAGCTCTGCCTGAACCTCACTCAAGGCAGCCAGCATCTCTTCATCATGGAGCTACTTGTCCATCCAAATCTCCAATTCCCGGGCGGCAGAGGGAGCAGCATGGGGGCTCAGCCCTGCTCCGGGATGGCCCTGGCGATTCCTCCAAAGGGGAAACTGAGGCACGAACCGCTGCTCTGCTTGGCAGCAGGAGCATCCCGCGTCTCAGGGCAGGAGTCTGGGGAGGAGGGCTGGAGGATGCAGCCGGACAACACCCGAGCGTTGGGCTCGAAGCCGGGGCTATCCCCCCATATCCTGCGGCTGGATGCTGCTCCTGGCAATCGTGGGACAAGGTGGAAGCAGGGGACGGCTGGAAGCAGCCGCTGCAACACGTGGCTCCATGTTCTCCAAGCGGCTGCGCCAGCGCCAGGGCAGCACCCGCGGCTCCCAGCCGCGCTCAATCCGGCTGCTTTCAGCCCAAAAGAAGAGCTGCAGGGCCAGGATGGTCTCGGCTGCCGCTCGCCTTGGTGCTGGGAGGATGGGACACGGCCACCCGCACCGGGTAGGGCTGTCCCCAAGGGCGCTTTTGCAGGGACACCAGACCCACATGCTTGGAAAAAAATTGATCAAGTCAGGACTGGCTGCTCCTCCTCTCGGTTCCCTGTTCGAGAAATGCGGGATCTTGCCTGGATTTTCACCTGTTCATGGTGATCACCGCAAGGCAGCCCCTCGCCACCTGTTTTCCTGATTTTTGGTTTGGCGGGAATGACGGCTTAGCTGCTGTTGGAGAGGGAGACCACGGAGCACCCCCCTGCCCTGGGCAGCAGGAAAAACAACAGTGCCTAGGGGGGAAAAAAGAGGAAAAAAAAAAAAAGAAAAAGAAATTCCACCCGATTGGAGCCAGGCAAGGTTTTTAAAGGGGGAAAAAAAACAAAACAAAACAGGGGTGTATGTGAATATAAAGGAGGCGCCAGGCAAACCCAAAGCTGCCTTGTTTTGTCCAGCTCCGGAAAGCCACAAAACAAACTTGGAAGGGAATTTTCTTTTCAATGAGGGATTGGGGATTTCTTTTTTCCCCTGCTCCCTCGCAGCGGGGAAGGCGCAGGGAGAGCGGGAGCGCGCGGGAAGGGCGGCCCCGGCGTGTCCGGACTTGCCGCTCCGTGCGCGCCGGGCTCGGAGCCCCTGGGCACAGGGAGGTGGGGATGGTGCCGGGGCTGCCCCTGAAGGGTTCCCTGGGGATTCTCCCCCTGCTACAACCCCCCAGATGGATTATTGAGCGCAGGGCAGGGATTTGCAATGAGAGAGGGCTGCGGCTCCGGACTCCGGCACAGATGGCACCAGGGCCACCTCCCGCGGTCCCATCCCGGGCCCTCTGCCGGGTGGCAGCTGCAGCGGGAACACAAGTGCCTTTGGGGACCCCTCGGCTCCCCTGTCCCCGCTGGGCACTGGCCAGTGACCAACCAGGTCCCCAAGCCACCCTGGCCGCAGCCCCTGCAGTGCCCATCACCGATCTGGAGCACCTGGCAATTATCCTTTATTTCTCCTGTTGCTCCCAGCCACGGGTTCATCCATCATCCCTCCCTGATGGGCAAACAGTGACACCTCAAACCAATCTCCTACTCGCAGAGGGGGGAAAAAATATACACAGGAGCCCTTCTTTTCTCTCCACTTCTCGCCTTGTCTCTGTCCCCCATTGAGCACAGGGCTGGCACGGGGCCATGCTGGCAACCGCCTGCTTTCACTTGCTAATCATCCTAAATATTGAAAATCCACGCCCAGAATCAACAGCTCCAAGATTTCGGCTCTGTTTGGAAATGCAAATTGTGCCGCCTTTTGTCTCCCTGCCTGGGCCTGGGGCTGCGCGAGTGGAGAAGGTCGGGGCTCCTGCTTTTCCCTCCCTTTCTACACCCAGATTATTCCCCCCTGTCCGCCCCTGCCTTCTTTTCTCATTGAGAAAAAAATCAGCCTGTTTTAGCACCCCGGGCTGGGCTGGGGGGAGCTGGGCTGGAGGAGGGATGGGATGGGAGGAGACTCGCTCTGCATAGTGATGAAGGGGCCTCTGAAGTTTGGGAAAAGCCAGGTGTGGAGCGGGCACCTGGGGGCTTCCCAGGCTCCATCCAAAGGCTCCCAGAGGAGGCGGCTGCCGGTGCCGCATCCCGTGGGCGCTGTCCCATGGGATCTGTGCAGGAGCTGAGGGCCAGGAGCTGCCTGTGGGCACCGTCCCGCACCAGGAGCCCCATCCAGGGCCACCTCGGGGGCTCGGAAACCCGCATGGGGGCAAAGCCCTTCTGCAGCCTGGGCTGAGCCCTTGCGCCGCTCACCGCAGTGCCCGCTTGGGCCGGGTGACCCAGCAGCTCCGTGGGGCGCTGCGGCTGGCCAGGAGGAGCTGGGCTGTGCTCGGACGTGGCCCAGAGCCGGTTTATCTGGCCCCAGGGGGACTTTCCGCCCTCCTGCCGCGGCTGGGGCCGCCCAGGTGCACCCTGTGCTTTCAGGCCGCGCGCGGTGCCCC